GAATTAAAAACCGATAAAACTAAAATATGTATTACTATTTTTGTAGTAAATAAAAATAATAAAAAAAAAACTTTAAAAAAATATTGTCTTATTTTATTTATATGTCATGTAACAAGAATTGTTTAACGCTCAGCTGCACAACTCTGGAACTCTTCATTGAATCACAACGAACATGTTTGCAACCACTGTGCGACGCGTCGCAACATTTGCCCGCATCGCCGTTGGCCCAAACAAGTTGCGATCAGTTTTGAAGCGCGCGTCGCGTCAATAAGTCGTGATTTGTGCTGATAGCGCTGCAGATCGGCCCGTTACGCTCAGTTGGCTCAACGATCTTGCAGAAGTTTGCCTAAGCCATAGTTTGGTTTGCGCTTGTTCGTGTTTGTGTTTTTGATTGTGTTGAAGTCTTTGGTTCTCTGTGCAATGTGTGAGTGCTGTTGGCGCTGCTGTAATACAAGTTGAAAATGCAATAGGCCAAATACAATAATGTCCAGAGCCAGGCACCGTTATGCAAAGTTGTTGACCCAAAAAGAAATTACAACAATGCTTCAGGCTGGCAGTTAGGCTGCTAAGCCACGCGTATAAAAACACGCAAAATGCGCCACAAGCTCGTCAACAAAAAAAAAAAAAAAAAAAAAGAAACATATGAAAAATAAAAACAAAACGCTAAAACTAATAATAATAAAAACCAAAAAATAATAATACGAAAAAAATAGCAACAAATTCGCACAGCTTTAAGCCAACGTTATTGTTACAACGCGCTTAGCCCATTTCGAATTGCGTTGGCTTCATTCTTTTTGGCAACGTGTGTGGAATACTCAATGCTTGGGGTTTTTTCTCCACTTTGTTTGCCTCGTCTATTTTAGCCAAATAGTGTTGCCAAACTTGACAGATCAGTCGTACAAATATTAATGATCATTGGAGCCAAAGCAAATAGAATTCAAGTGCTTGAATAAATTTGAGAAAGATTTGAGATTTATGCAGTGTTTTTTTTTCGCCTTGCGCATTTGCAAATTTAACTAACATACTCAAATATTTGTCCATTGAGAAAGATCTTGATTGTATACAGAAATATATGGATATATACATACATACGTATAAATATATTTATATGTATGTACATGAACTTGGTCCAAGTACAGCATTTTAATTGGCTCATTTATAAGCACGTACTTAAAATTTACGCACGTCTCTCCGTTATCATTAATAAGTGACTTTTTTATTTTGCTTTACCATATCGAATTTATAGCCTACTAAAAGAATAATTACAATACTTAATAAAAAAAAAATATATTGGCTCCAAATTCAATTGAAGGATCAATTAATCAATCAATACTTCGGATCGGATACACTGAAATTAATGAAGGTATGCTATGAGTATTATAGAAGCGGAATAAAATATTAATGAAAGTTTTAATATTTAAGAAAGAGTGTTTATTTAAATTTTAATAAATGATAATAGGTCTCTTCGAGCTATTAAACGAAATTTTTGTTATATAACGAAATATTGATCAGTAGAAACGTTATTAAAATAACTCTGAAATTATGAAAACTGTATTTTGTTTACATTTCATAAGTTTTTGGGTTTTAAATATATCTTTTCTAAACTGACATTTTTGTAATACTAATGGAAAAAAAACTAATTGAAATAAATCTGTTATTTAATTATTTTTAAGCAATTATTTTCTCAGTTCAATTCTTTTTAAAAAATATATATCGAATTGATTAACAATTAAAATATTGATTCAATTTAAAATTCGCACGAATATATTTAATAATTA